CCTTCTAGTTGCTGTATGTGGGACTCGGCCTCAGGATGGACGGAGAAGTGGTGCCTCGATGCGCACCCGGGATCCGAACCCGGGCCACCAGCATTGCAGCGCGCGCACTTAACCACCAAGCCACAGGGCCGGCCCGTCAAGGAGAAGGTTTAAAGTTAGGGTTAGGTTGGGTGTTCTGGGTGTTGTGTGCGTAGGGTTGTGTGTATTAAATGAGTTACAGGTAAAGCGCTTAGAACAGTACCTGACACATAGTGAGCACTCAGCTAATGTTAGTGATGATGCCGACGATAATGAACCTTTACCTTCTAAACTCAGTCCACGTTCTAAGGCTTTTACAGCAGCCTTTGAGAGACAGAATATACCCCCTTACACAACTTTTGTTATCTCTTCTCCTCATACAAGGGATATTTCCCACACCTCCATGCAATATAAATACAACCACTGCAGCAAGATGGGAAAAGGATGTTGACGTTAACTGCCTGTTGAGAAAAGGTATCAGCAATCAAGAACACTCCAGATCTAACGGACGCAGATGAGAATCTGGCCTCCACTGCAGAACCGTGCCTGCCATGAAGCAGGGACAAGACCCACATAAAGCTGTTCCATGGCTGTGTCTGATCTCAGACCCCAGATTTGGGAGCCAAGACCACCATATTTTCCTATAAATTTGCTCATTAAGAACCAAAAAAAGATGGGCCGGCCCCGTGGCGTAGCGGTTAAGTGCGCGCGCTCCGCTGCTGGCAGCCCGGGTTCGGATCCCAGGCGCGCACCTATGCACCGCTTGTCAGGCCATGCTGTGGCGGTGTCCCACATAAAGTGGAGGAAGACAGGCACAGATGTTAGCTCAGAGACAGTCTTCCTCGGTAAAAAGAGGAGGATTGGCATGGATGTTAGCTCAGGGCTGATCTTCCTCACAAAAAAAAAAAAAGAACCAAAAATAGAGACTTAACTGGCCCCCCACTTAGTTCCAGGCCATTAAATATCCATTCATACATTCACATATGCATGATTGAACAATATATTTACTGAGTATCTTATATGTATTAGGCACTAGTTCTAGTCCCTGAGAATACAGCGGTGAACAAGGAAAAGTCCCTGCCTTCATGCAGCTTATATGCCAGGCCTACAGAACATAAACAAGCAGGTACATAATACCAGGTACTTTCAGTTGCTGTGAAGAAATACACAGCAGGGTAAGGGGAAAGAGTGATGGATTGTTGGAGGGTGATCAGGGAAGTCCTCTCTCAGGTGACCCATGAGGAGGGACCTGAATGGAGTAAGGGAGTGAGCCATAAGACTATCTGGGGACACATGTTGCAGGTATGTGGAACAGCCAGGGCAAAGGCTCAGAGGGGTCTTGTCAGTCTCTGGTTAGCAGCCTTGGCCAGCACCCAGAGAGCAGGGAGGTGCGTTATACACACGCACTTGAAATATATTAAGTTTCACCCCAGAGGGATGGGGTATGGTTCCTCCTCGGAGTAGTCTCCCCTCACATCTACATTTCTACCTAAATCTAAAGCTGGGATTCTTAACCCAGCCCTAAAGCTGGATCTCTGCAGCTTTTTTCAACCCCTTTGTCTGCTTCCAAAACTCTTTTGATCCTTTTTTTTTTAATTTTTGGACTTTTTTTTTTTTTTTTTTTTTGGTGAGGAAGAGTAGCCCTGAGCTAACATCCGTTGTCAATCCTCCTCTTTTTACTGATGAAGACTGGCCCTGGGCTAACATGCATGCCCATCTTCCTCCACTTTATATGGGATGCCGCCACAGCATGGCTTGACCAGCGGTGCATCAGTGTGCGCCTGGGGTCCGAACCTGAGAACCCTGGGCCACTGAAGCAGAGTACACGCACTTAACTGCTATACCACCCGGCCAGCCCCTGGACTATCATTTTTATTTCGTTTGTATTATAAAACAAACATAGAGTTTTTACCATGTACCACGTATTGTTCAAAGCACTTTAAAAATATTAATTTATTTAATCTACCTAAGAGCCTTATAATGTAGGTGTCATAATTATCCCCATTTTACTCATAAGAAAAGCAAAGCACAGAAAAGTTTAAAAATTTTGCCAAAGATCACATAGCTACTAAGTGGTAGAACCAGAATTCAAATCCAGGCAGTCTGGTTCTAGAATCTGGCCTGATGGATATGTTTTTTCTTTCTTCTTCTTCTTTTTTTTTTTTTTTTGGAAAGAATTGATATAGTTTTAATTTCTTAATTACATCAGTGACAAGTAAATGCATTCTCAATATAAAATGTTCAAATATTACAGATAAAGCAAAAGGGCTGCATGACCACCCCCCAGAGTCCCAGCCTCTTCCGGTCACTGTTAGCACTTGTCGGGTAACCGTCTAAAGTTTTTACACTTACACAACATATTTAGTTTTGTTTAGTAGACTTGGGTTGGGCTTTATTTTGTATTTGTCTACTTTTTAAAAACAAATAGTACTATACTGTATGCATTTTTCTAGGGGTTGTTTTTATCATCCAACAACATGTTCTGGAGTTCCTTCCTTGTCAGTACACATGAATGTACTTTACTCTTCTTAACTACTGCAAATCATTCTACAGCATGACACACCAACATTTACCTAACCATTCCCTATGGCTAAAGGTCACGGTTTTCACCACTATAGACAAGTATGCAATGAACAACCATGACGATGCCTCCTCATGCACACACACGTCAAAGTACTTTTCCTGAACAGATCCCAAGTAGCAGAGCTGCTGAGTCATGGCAGCTCTCTTATTTTCAATAGGCCCTGCCAAATTGCCCTCCAAAATGCCTACGCTAATTTACACTACAAACAGCGGAATTTAAAAGAACCAATTTTCCACCCGCTTTGCCAACTCCTGACATGATCAAACTTTAACTTCTTATAATCCAGTGGGTAGGAAATGATTTCTCATTGTTCTTTTCATCTGTGCTTCCCTAATTACTAATGACATTGAGCATCTTTCCATATGCTTATTAGCCATTTGTAATTCCTCATCTAGGAATGGCCTGCCCTATCCTTTGCCGATTTTTCCACAGGGCCATTTGTCCTTTCTTTGTTATTAGTTCTTTATATGTCCCCACATTCATCCTTGGTCGACACTACACTAACAAATATTTTCTCCCAGTCTGCTGCTTGCCTTTTCTCTTGGTTTTATGATCCCCACTTCTCGCCTGCTATTACTGAGCCTGAAAATGGAATTTGGAAACAGGCGTAACCACAGTCCTCTCAGAAGACACTAGTCACTCCCTCTGCTCTCCTCCAACTGGCTCGCCTGTGCCCTAGTGGAAGCACTTAGCTCTCTGCTCCGGTTACTGGTGCCCGTCTGCGTTGACTGCACGGAGTGTGCTCAGGAAAGTGGGGGCTTCATCCGCTCATTTCTATGTCTCCCCCGGGGCCTAGCACAGACCCTTGTATATTGTAGGTACTGAAACCAACTGAATTAAGGCCACCATTAAAAGCAGAACAACTTGATCCCAAATACGATTTCACTCAACTCTGCTAAGCAGGTATCATCATGGTCAAAGAGTGGCTTTCGTCCTTCCCAGAAACAGAAAACAAAACAAGAAGGCATGCAGACTGGCTCGATGAAATATTAAGCAGCTCTCTCCAACACTGTGGGTGATGGTTTGTGTGGTTGTTGCAGAGTCCGGGAGACAGGCAGGAAGGAAGGCGTGTGATGAGACCACAATCATTAGATCTCTGCTGTCCTCTTTGAGAAGGGTTTTAGTATTAAAAGGACATTTATTCTCCTTAATGCAAAACTAAGGAGTTTAAAAAGCTTTTACAACCTAGACTCCCTCTGAGAGGTCAGCTCTAACACCCGAACAGGCCTTCTGCTCCCGCTACTACTTGGAGCCAAGCGGCTCCTTCAGGCCCAGCTGGCCTGACAACAGGCGGACGCGAGGGAGGAGGGGAGGGGGAGAGCCTGTGCTGGCTTCTGCAGTTACCAGGCCCATCCTGGATAAAATATCTGCTAGTGTACAGCAGACCAAGGACGAATGTGGGTACATATAAAGAACCAATAACAACCACAGGGTGCATCACCGGGCACCCGTCACACTGCTGAGAGGCCTGTCACCAGTCCCTTGGCCCCGGGGACTCAGAATCACTGAATCTCCAGGCAGAAAGGGGTGAATCCAATGTTTAAATCCCCTTAACTACAGCCCCCCAAAGTAGCCATCCATCCTCTGCTTAAGATGCTACCTGCAATAAAACGCTGACATTGCTGAAGCTGGGAGATGGGTGTGTACCAGTTCATAATACTATTCTCCCCTACTTTTATGTCTGTATAGAATTTTTATAATTAAAAAAAATTTTTTTAACGCTTGCTGTAACAGAAGCTCACAACCCCTTCCTTGGACATTCTGTTGGGACGTTCCTCCTTTCACTGAGCTATCGTGTCCTCCTGTAGCTCTGGTCCTCCCAGAGGACTTTAAAAGCTCAGTGTCTGAGGGGCCTGCCCGGTAGCCTAGTGGTTAAGTTCGTGCACTCTGGGGTTCATGTGTTCAGATCCCGGGTGCAGACCTGCACACTGCTCATCAGGCCATCCTGTGGTGGTGACTCACATACAAAAAAATAGAGGAAGATGGGCACAGATGTTAGCTCAGGGCCAATCTTCCTCATCAAAAAAACAAAAAAAAAAATCTCAGTGTCTGAAGTCAGACCGACCTGAGTTCAAAAGCTGGTGTGACCACTTGCTGCCATGTGACCCTGAGCATATTATTTTAACCTCTCTGAACCTCAACTTCTCATCTGCACAATGGGAGAAGTAATGTAACCTACGTCATAGGGGTGTTGGGAAAATTGGATGAGATCATGCAGGTAACATCCTTAGCCCAGCACCTGGCACATGTAAAGTGCTCACTGCTATTTAACTGGCTTACTTCTCCTCCTGGAGGCCAAACAGCTCAGGTCAGCCACCTTGGCACTGTGGCAGACCTTCTGATATAAGACAACCAACTAAACAGCACTTAGCAACTGACCCCATAAAAAGGACATGCCCTGGAATTTAAAAATCACAAACATCTGTGATTATGTTAAACAACAAGAACTATGCCCACAGTCAAGAGTTTCCTCTGTGTCTTGGCATGTCCTGCAACTACACTCATCTCTTGGTTGTCGGCACTGATGCTCCGAGACCCTGACACAAAGAGAAAGCTGTGAAAAATTCACTCCACTGAATCCCAGAGAATCAGAGAGAACGCACTCTTTTCCCTCTCCTTTTCATGGGTAAGGTGTGAGTGGACGGTTCACTCATTCATTACATATTTGTACAAGACAGGATGTACACAAAACACGAGAGGCCACATGTGCCATTTCGTTCCCACTGCAGGACAACCTGACCCTTCCCAGAGAGCCCTTAGCAGTACTTCTCTAGTTGCATAGAGACTGTTCACAGCATGCGATCACCCCCGGAGCCCAGCATACCTTGCCCTGTTTTCCAAAACATGACTCCGTGCATCTGTCCTGACACTCCGATGCCACAGACTTTCCAGAGCTGCTCCCGGGGAAGGGCAGCAAGGCACTCGTTCAGGGCTTGGATGATTCTACGCACATCCTGCTCCTGCCCCTGGAAACAAACAGGACACGTTGGGCAAGGGAAACACAGACAGGGAAGGGGAGGAGGACAGAGGCCTCAAGGGACTTTCTGGGTGATGGCTGCTCAGCTAATTCCACCGGGGCACTTCCAAGACCTGCTGACTGGCCTCAGGGTTGAGAGTGGGACTGAGGGGTCTCCACCACCTCCAGCAGGGCCGGGAGTAGGAATGGGGTGGTGCAAGGTTCTACTTGCCTCACAGGTGAGGCGCTGCTGCAGATGAGGCTCAGCAAATGGCCCAGGCTCTGCCCTCCACTGTGGATGAGTCTGAGCTGAGAAAACCACTGCCCCTGCCCTACAGGAACTTTCAGTCCAGCAAGAAGGATAGGAAAACACAAGAAAGACCACATTGAAAGGAGAAACAAGTAAGGGTCTTTGGCGAGGCACATAGAGCTTTGGGTTAGGAGAAGGATGGAACAAAACAGGGAGCAACCTGGCAGGAGAGGCACAGTGGAGAAAGGCCTCATGCACTGAAGCCCTTTAGGACCAGCCCTAGCGTTTGCTCCTACGTGGGCTTAGCCCATCCATCTGGCAAACCTTTCCGGAGTGCCCTGAGGGCCAGGCCTGGACTTGGAAACAAAAACCCACCTAGGGAAGGCAGGCAAGGAGGAAGCCCAGGGGATACCTGGGCACAGCACCAGTGGGCTGGGCTGTGTGAGTGGGTGGTATGCAATGAGCCTGGAAAAGAGGAGAGGCTGGGGCCCCATTGGTGGGCCTCAAGCCCCAGGGTGAGGGCCTCTTCTGGCCCCACTGGTAGGCCTCCAGCCCCAGGGTGCGGTGGGCTCTTCCTAAAGGTAATAGGAGCTCCTGGGGCTTTCTGAATGGGAAAGTAGCATCATCAGAGCTGTGTTTTCAGAAGATTACTTGGGCAGTGGTATAAGCTACACAGAGAGAGACAGGCTGACGGTGTAGACAGATTTTCCAGAGGTGGGAAAGATTCAAGAAAATCAGGACCATCTTTTTCTGATTTGCCTTTTCTTCTGACTTCCTGCCTCCTTGATAACGTCTCTAGGCAAAATAACCTTGAAAGACAAAGTCCTGAGAGATAAGCAGAAAGTAATCAAATATCATATTAATATAGGTGACAGTCAAGTGTTCCTAAGCAACAAGAACATGAAAAGAAGTAGGATTTGGAGAAGTTCAAAGTCTTCAGAGTCAGATGGGAAAATGCATTTAGATATCTTAGAGCTAAACAAACGCCAACTCCAATCAAGCGGTACATCCAAATGGGTAGGAGGTACAGACTAATATAACTTCAGAAGTAGGTAATGATGCGACCAAACCTAAGAAATCTGGGTTTCTGGGGCCGGCCCAGTGGCGCAGCAGTTAAGGGCGCGCGCTCCGTCTCGGCGGACCAGAGTTCACAGGTTCGGATCCCCGGCGCGCGCTGACGCACCGCTTGTCAAGCCCTGCTGTGGTGGCATCCCATATAAAGTAGAGGAAGATGGGCATGGATGTTAGCTCAGGGCCAGTCTTCCTCAGCAAAAAGAGGAGGATTGGCATCGGATGTTAGCTCAGGGCTGATCTTCCTCACAGGAAAAAAAAAAGGAAAAAAAAAAGAAATTTGGGTTCCATGACCACTTCCTCTTTTAAACTATGAAATCCCGGCTAGAGGCTAGAAACAGGACTCCAGGATCCTATCCCTATCCCAGCAGATGCCTGTAATCAGTGAGAAGTCTCAATAAGCCGAGGAGGTCATCACAAAATAGACACTTGGGAAAGCAACCCAGATGACATAATTGTTTTCTTGGTGAATAAGTAAATTTCAAAGTGGAAAGATCAAGAATTAAATATATGTGTGTTTAAAAGAACGATATTATGTGATTAATATCTGTGCTTAAAGGATCTTTGGGTATTTGGTATTTTAAGTAAATTTATATGTTTAAGAGAATTCGGCCTAGGTTACCTTTGTAACTCCAATTTAAAATGTGAAATTCAGTAACTGATCTAGACTTGTGATTATAAGTTCAAATCTCATTTTATTTATAAAAGGATTTGAAACATATAAGAGCACTTAAGGTTTATAAAGTTATGCATTTAATTTATTAGGTTTATAAGAATTATTTAAGTATTCTTGTTTAAAGATTTTATTTATTTATTTATTTTCCCCCCAAAGCCCCATTAGATAGTTGTATGTCATAGCTGCACATCCTTCTAGTTGCTGTATGTGGGACGCGGCCTCAGCATGGCCGGAGAAGCGGTGCGTGGGTGTGCGCCCGGGATCCGAACCCGGGCCGCCAGCATCGGAGCGCCCGCACTTAACCGCCAAGCCACGGGGCCGGCCCATATTTAAGTATTCTGAAAAGATTTAGGTCAGACAACTGCAGTACCTAAGAAAGAAAATATATTAAATGCATAACTGCAGTCTAAAACGTCTAAGGTATTTAACTAAAATGGAATTAATTATTATCCAAAGGCCCTCAAAAATCATTCTTAAAATGTTAGACTTACAAATCGAATAAGCTTGATTTAAAAGCTTAAATAAGAACTAGGGTTCTGAATTTAATAAATTGAATACTTATTTTTATTTCAACCAAAGTAAAATGTTTCTGGCACACAAAAATCACCTCAAGGTATGAAATAAACTTATATTTAACAACTAGAAGGATCCATGGAAAATTCAGAAAAGACAAGAAATGTGGCTCAGCTCTTAATAAATGTCTGATCTTTGAGGAACTAAAAAAGATTAGGGTCTTGGAAAAGCATCTGAAGACTGAGCCCTCAGGCCCCTTGCTTCCCTCCAGCAGGGAGCGCAGCCCTCCCCTCCTCAGAACAAAACCCTCACTTGCCCTGGGTCAGCCTGTTGGCCGTGGCCAGGGGCAGCTCTTGGCTCCTAAGAAGCACGAACGAAAGAGCAGAGAGAAGGAAGGTGAAGGGGGGTAGAACGGGGAAGAAGGAGTGAAGAGGGAGCACAGAGCATTTTCCTGAGGGGTGTCCATGCAAAATAACCAGTAACCATTCTAGGGATAAGGTGAGTTTTATGTGAGCCAGGGTGAGGATCATAACGCGGGAAGGCAGTTTCCACAAGGGAAGAAATTGTTCCGGAGAACGTGGTTTTCAGCACAGTCTTAAACCTTTTTAGAACAAAGAACATACGTTAAACACGCCCAAGATATATATTCATCAAAGTTTCAAAGAGGTATTCAGTTACAAATTCACAGGTCAACATGCAATGTCCAGAAAGGGACTAAAGTATGCACTCTTTTCTTAAGAAAGTGCATTCTTCACTTTAACGGTTAAAGCAGATGCACAACGTATGTCTGACAGGCCATCAGTCAGGCTTCTTTAGTTCAAGCTCCATCAGTTTTGAATCAGAATAGTTACCCCATATACCTCAATATGTGAGAATCTCGCCAGGAGGCAGTCTCAGATCCTAACAAGACTCTCTATGTAGGAGAGACTATATATAGCAGAACTGACTGGGCAGTGAAAGAGCAGCAAAGAGGAGGCGCGTGGCTGTGCGTGATCCCCTGAGGAGGGAAGGGGGGAGCAGGGAAGAGACATATGTTTAGACCTGCACTGTCCAATATGGCAGGCATTAGCCACGTATGGCTAGTCTGAATTGAGATGTGTTGGGAGTGTAAAATACAAACCAGACTTCACATGTAGCATGAAAAAAAAGAATGCACACTATCTCATTAATAATTTTGCATTAATTATTACATATAGAAATGATAATATGTTGGATACATTAGGTTAAATAAAATATGCAATTAAAATTAATTTCACCTGTTACCTTTTTGAATATGGTTACTAGAAAATTGAAAACCACAGATGTGGCTCACATTTGTGGCTCTCATTTCTATTGGATAGTGCTGGTTTTGAGTTCCCACATGGCCATCAGATGGTGCACCAACCCAGGACAAAGGAGGTGCTGTTTAAAATGGGCCCAGGGTGGGTGACTTATGTGGGTGGGGATGGTGCAGGAGGGAAACAGGCCGATGGCAGTGAGACAAGAAGGCAGTCTGTTCAGCAGTTAGTTCAAGTTTTAATGGTGAGTATGACAGGGGTGTAGCTCTTGGACAGACAATGGATATACCCACAATGTAACAGGAAAGGTGCTGCCCCCAATCCTTGGTTCAGAATATCAACTAGTCTACATCCAGATCAGATCCTAGAACTTTAGATTCAAGAAAAGAACTTCAAAATTCATTCAACCCTCCTCCTCCACGCCCCTTTTTGCAGATGAGGAAACTGAGGCCCAGAGAGGAAGAATTAATAACTCAGAAAGAGTCACAAAGCTTCCCTCAAAAATCCTGATGTTTTAAAGTTGCAAATACCTAAAAGCCTGAACTCCCACATAGCTGCAAAGCTTGACCATGGTGTACACAATACTTCTAAAGAATGAGAAGTATAGATACAAGGATTTCTATAGATTAGTGGTGCTCAACCCAGGGGTGATTTTTGTCCCCTAGGGGATATTTGGCACTATGGAGACATTTTTGGGTGTTGCAACTGGGGAGGAGGGTTCTATGGCATATGGTGGTCAGAGGCCAGGCATGCAATGAAACATCCTACAACGCACAGGACAGCCCCCTACAACAAAGAATCATCCCACCCAAAATATCAACAGTGCCAGGGTTGAGAAATCCTGCTATAGATGAAATTACAGCAATGCTGTTTGTCCCAGAGCACAACACACATGTGGAGGATGCAAAGGGGGCTATTACTAGTCTCCCCTAAACCCCTCATTAGGCAGGTGTCACGAACTGGGTGTGCCTGTAAACCCAGAAGAGCCTGCTAAATGCTAGGGTAAGAGAGGAAAGGAGTTTTCAAGAAGTGGCCCTATTTCAAGAGAAAAAGGCACTAAACCCACTCCCTGCAATCCGGCTCTGCTGCTCACCCCCACAGCGTCAGAGCTGACTCTGCCTCCACTTCATAGTCCATGAAGTGAAATAAAAATTCTACAATGCCCTTACGCCCCAACCAAACTCACTTTGAAAGCCTCTATGAAAATGCAAATTGCTCCTGAAATCTTTATGCTCTGAAATGCTTCTGAGCAAGACGGACTCTGAACCCTAAAGGACTGAGTCCAGACATGCAGCAAGAGCTTGTGAAAAACAAAGCTCTTGGGAGTGGGGATTGGCTTAGAAAATCAAGGTTTGTGGCTGGAAGGGGCCACAGAGGCCACGTATTTCAACTTGGAGAAGAACAAGCTGAGACCCAGAAAAAAATCGTGAGGTTACACAGAAAGTTCTTTGATATTAATTTCTATTGTCAATTAACTGAACATAGAGCTACCTTTTTCGGGGAATTAATGGAAGCCAGCTTTGAAGATTGACATCCTTTCTGAACCCACATCTCACAACAGAGCCCATTGCGGTGAAATTCTCCCTTTCTATCTTGTAGATTTCACAAGACACTAGCTATAGTGTATAATTATCAATCTGATCTCTTTCCAACATTTTAATCGACTTATCTCTCAATGTCTTTCTATCTGTCCTGACGTCTTTCTTCCGAGGTGTCTGGGGGACTTCGGGCTGGGAGACTCTTGCCGACCAAGCGTTTGAGTTCCTCTGTCCACATGCCGCTCCCGTGGCATGAGAGAGGGGCACGAGAAGAGCGGGTTAGCCCTGCTCTGCATCTTATTTCCAGAGCAAAACCCAGACTCTGCCCTGGGGAACAAGTGAATCCTAAACCTGAGGTCACCAGCAGGTGTGAGGAGCAGAGAGCGGCAAGAGGTCACTCCACATACACAAGGAGAGCAATTTCACGCAGGTGCGGGTACAGAAAGTGGAGGGCAGAGAGCACGGGGATACAGCGCCACGCGCACGGCCTCCAGAGGCGAGAGAGTGGGGAAATCGGCGCCAGCAGGTGGGAAAGCGCGTGGGACGAGGCCTAACGGATCAGGGGCTGCTGCACTTGGCAGGCAGAGGTCAAGCAGGCTGGAGCAGTCAGAGGGACTTCTTTGAGGAAGGGGGGTATCAGGGAGGCCTCCTCTGAGGAGCAAGAGGATCGTCAAGAGGCCCCTGGAGGCGGCGCGGCTCCAGGGCGCTGCCTCACCTGGGGCCCTGCCGCCGCGCTCTGGGCCGCCGCCTCCGCCCGCGCAGGCCGGGCACAGCTCGCCAGTACCACGAACCCGGATGGATCGCCGGGCGCGGCCTCCACCAGGGCCGCCTTCACAGACGTGGTGCCCAGGTCGATGCCGAGAGTGACCGACCGTGCAGCCATGGCTGCAGGGCCCCGCGCAGGTCCGGCACGCTGCGGAGGCAGCCGCTACGGCACACTGCACGCGGGACCCAGGCGCAGGGCGCCGCCTCGCCTGCCGCTCCTGCAGCCACACTCAACGTGGCGGCAGCTCGTCTTCCCATTGGTCCAGGGAGGCGGAGCTCCGCGCACCTCTCGCCCCGGGCCCGGCTATAGGCGGAGAGGCAGAGGAAGGCGGGACCTAGCGGGCCCCGCCCCGTAGGGCGGGGGTTCCGGGACAGTGAGCGCAGTCTCAGCCTCGCTCGCCGAAGCGGTGGAGCGTCTGCTGACAGGCGCTGGGGACTCCGAGGGTCCCTGTGTCCCTAAAAGTGGCTTAATCCCCCCTCACTCCCTAGCCCCCATCCCTGCCAAGGCGCCTGCGCCCCTCCGCTCCGCCGCAACCCTGCCCAATTGTCCGGCTAAGACTCGTGAAAACTACAGCTCCCAGAGTGCATCGCACCGAGATCTGCACTCCGCGAGTCGGGTGGCCCGGGTCAGGTGACTTCTGGCCCGCCCTCACACAAAGTCGGGCCGGCCTGGGGAGGTGGTCCAGTCCGAGGCGGCTGCTGAGTCCCGTGTGTTGGTCTCCTGAGCCTGAGAGGATCTCAGGTGAGAGCCGGTGCGGCCCCGACAACCCCCGCTGTATTTCCCAGGCGGACCCCCGGGGCCCAGAGACAGGCACAGCAAGGCGTTTGGGCAGCCTGCCGCGCGTCCAGCCGCCCTCAGGCGCCGGGGTTCCATCCCCTGCCGCCAGTACCAGCCGGCGACATCGGGCAGCCCCCAGATTGAAGGGCCCGGGTGGTGGTGAGCGGAGAGGCAGGGGACACCGGGCTGCCGAGGTCGTGTGGGTGGCACTACCCCAGCGCAGGTCCGAGCCCTTCTCCGCTTTCTGCTTAGTTGCCGCCTGAACCTGAGTCGCGCAGTTAGCAGGTTGCTTTGGAGAGGGGAGACCCTGAGAGGACCATTCCAGGAACTCCTGTTGGCGTGCTGTGTGCCGGGCTGGGCTCCGGGGGAGTGGGCAGGACGAGACCCGCACTGCCTTCCGGAGCTTTCAGGCAGAAGGAAGGGAGAACAGCTGGGCCCCGCCTTTTTCAACAATGTTGAGGAGAAACGGTGCTTTGTGAGAGCTTGCACGGTGCCCTAGGCAGCAATAGTAATCACTTTACATCATTGTTTCTCAACCTTTTTTCCTTATCAATCCCCCAACACCACCATGAAATTGTAATTTTTTGTGGCCCTTTGGAGGGCCACATACCGTCCAAGTCCTATGATGTAGTTCTCATTGTCCCTGTTTTCACATTAGGAAATTGAAGCTTGAGGAGGTTGAGTAGCACCCCACAGTCACACAAGTAATAACCAGGTGTTTTTTGTGTGTGTGTGTTTTTTGTGTGAGGAAGACTAGCTCTGAGCTAACATCCGATGCCAATCCTCCTCTTTTTTTGCTGAGGAAGATTGGCCCTGGGCTAACATCCGTGCCCATCTTCCTCTAGTTTATATGGGACGCCACCACAGCATGGCTTGACAAGCGGTGCATCGGTGTGCACCCAGGATCCGAACCTGCGAACCCTGGGCCGCTGAAGTGGAGCGCGCGCACTTAACCGCTGTGCCACCCGGCTTAACCAGGTTTAAATCCGTGCAGTCTGTCTCTGGGACACACATACCTTGCCACTATGGGCATTACTTCTGCAAGGGAAGGAGACCCAGAGAGTACCAGGTTGTGGAAGAGTTGACAGGATTAACTCAGATACCTGACAGAGAAGTTGCCGCAGGACACCCCTGACCCCAGGTTGCTCCTGGGAGGGATTGGGAGTGGGAGGCTTCTTGAAGCAGGTGGCATCTTAGTGAGGCCTGGAAAATAGAACTTACGTAGGAAGAAGAGCATGCCAGACTGAGCCCACTGTCATGAAATTCTCCATTTCTATCTTGTAGCTTTCACAAGACACTAGTTTTAGTGTATAATTATTAATCTGATCTTTTTCTAACATTTTAATCGACTTACCTCTCAATATCTTTCTGTCTGTCCTGACGTTTTCCCTCCAAGGTGTTTGGGGGACTTTGGGGCTGGGAGACTTGATGACCAAGTGTTTGAGTTCCCTTGTCCACATTCTGCTCCTGCGGCATGAGAGAGGAGCCAGTTAGGTCTGATTCTGCATCTTATTTCCCTGGGAAAACCCCAGCTCTACCCTGAGGAGCAAACTGAATCTTAAACTCGAGGACACAGACAGGTGTGAGGAGCAGAGAGCAGCAAGAGTAAAGGGGAGGTCTGAAGTCATTCCACATACACGGGAGAGCAGTTCCCTGCAGGGCCGGGTACAGAACGTGGAGGGCAGAGAGCACGGGGATGCAGCGCCACGGGCAAGGCCCCCAGAGGAGGCCACAGAGTGAGGAGATTGGTGCCAGCAGATGGGAAAGCTCCTGAGATAAGACCTAATGGATCCGAGGAGCTGGAGCAGGCAGAGAGGCCCCTAGAGACGGCACAGGCTCAGGTCAGGCAGGCTGGAACAGTCAGGGAGACTTCTTTGAGGAGGGGGAAGGCTGGAGGCTCCTTGAGGTATTTTGGGGAAACTGAAACCAGAATGGAAGCAGGGATGTTTCCACACAGACCTCTCCTAGCTCTCCCACAGTTCGCAGGAATCCCCAGAGCCTGTCAGGCGTGGGAGGACCTGGGCACTGCATGCTGAGGCAGCATGTAGAGACAACATTACCGATAGCCACATTGACTTGCCCCATCTTGACTTGTGCTTCACCTGCCATGCTTTGGGGGTATGAGTATGCAGCAGCCCCCCTCCCTCACTTAACCACTAAGCTGCTCCAGGGCTGATCTGGGGCTTGTCCCTCACTGGGTCCCCATTGTGAGTGATCCCTGCCAATCCTGGAAAGGTGATATTGTCAAATGAAAAAGTCTTAACCAAGAGTCAATTGGTGACATTAGCCCTAGCCTCTTATGCCAGGACAAGGAATGAAATTAATTTCATTAAGGTTTATAGGTTCACAAGGTCAAATATCTGGCCACAGTTTTAATAACTTTTTGAAAAAAAGAACCCCCAGCCAATAAAACTGCATTCTTTCTTTCTGTTAACTAGGTTGCAAGAAGCAGTTGAAGAGGGGAAAATGCAGTGTTTATCCACTTCCGCAGAGTGGGACCTTACATAACCCACTTAGCCTCTCTGAGCCCGTTTCCCCACATATCAAAGACAGATAAGTCCTCCTGGGGTCCCCTTCTCTGAGCTGGTGATGCACAGCCCGTGAGGTCACAGGTGGAAGTGAAAGTCCTTTATGAACTGTCCCTGCCGTGGTTCCAGGTGGAGTATTGTCCACTTGTTGCTGAGCTGATCCAACTTGAACCTGAACTTTGCTTGCTCTTTGTTTTTCTTCCTAGTTCTGTGAAACGGAGGAACATGATAAGGCGTTGGCTGATTATTTGTGTCCTTTTTCCCCTGAAGCTCATAGGGACATGTGGTAAGTTTAGAAATGGTCATCAACTTTGTAAAGAGGGAAACAGTGCTGTAGAGTAAGGAGCCTGACCTGTTTGTAGCCCAGGGTTTAGGACTGTCCGCGCTGCGTGTGCCTGCCTCCCCTGGGTCAAGTGGCTGCTGGGGTGGTGGAGCAGACCCATGTCTGGGATCCAAGAGTTTTACAAGGAGCCAGATGGTTCCACAAAATAATTGGCCTTCTGCCTTAGGGTCCCTGTTACCTTTTCTGTATCACCAAAGTCAAACTGTGGCGCTCCGGCAATCTGGGATAATATCTGTAAAGAAGGGCTTGTGTCCCTGCCCTGTGCACGTCACAGAGGGAGTCATGGCGCCTGGGAGATGCTGCATAAGCAACTGAGGTGGCCACCTTGTTGTGCCTGGTTCTGCCAGGCACAGACACCTGACGAGTCTGCCCGGCTTCCCCTTGTAAGATGAGAAAACCCTCCCCTTAGAGAAGAATTAAGGAACAGGGCGCAGCAGCCCAAGCAGCCCTAGGAGTCTCACAGACACAGGCCACCTGTGGAGAAACACGTCAGGGTTTGTGCATCATTGTCAGGCTTGACCTTAGAGCCTGCGTCATTCCATCAGTTCTCCCACTGCCGAAAATATTGCTGAAATTCCTTCCACGAAAAGCTGTATTTAGAACTCCTAGGACACCAGGCCCATTACTTTGATCGTCAACTTGGCAGTTGTCAAAAAACAAATACATCTTAAAATCCCTTACTAAAGGTTTTAAATGAACCTTATACAAACAGTACAAATCCTGCGTAAGCTCCCCGAGAGCCACGCACGGTGACTGCACCCTTACAGTCATCTGCCTCTTGAATCTCTGAGAAAACAGTGATTATCTGATAAGTTCCTCCAGGTTTGTTAAACCATCAGTCATGTTCTTTTGCAGTCACACCTTGTGGATAAGCAATTTCCAGGAAAGGTCCTCGGACCATGAAGCCCGGTGTTTCTCAGTGCAGATGCCGGAGCCCCACTCCAGACCTGCTGGATCACATTCTCTGGGACTAAGGCCAAGTGTGTGTGTACGCACACGCACATTGGCAGGCTTTAAACAAAGCCCCATTAGTAATGCTAATGCATCGGCCTAGGAAAGAAGCGCAAATCCACCACCACCACGTCAATTATACAGAGGGGAAACTTAGGCCCAAAGAGGATAGACGTCTTCCCCGAAGTCACAGAGCTAGAAAGTAACAAAGATAGGACCTGTATAGGAGCGCTGCTCGATTTTATCACTTTGCCTGCTTTCTTGAATGTCATTATAAAAGAATAGTGGAAAGTACCATCATATCAAGGCACTGGAGTGGGGTTTCTGACCCCATTCTGCCTGCCTGTCTTCTCTTTTCTTTGGAAACGATTGTCAAAGACTGTAGATGAGATGATTGGCCTTTGGAGTTTTTTGTCTCTGACTTCTTTGGGTGGAATCTTGAGGTACTGCGACCTCGTGGCAAGAACCTGGGCTTTGGACCAGACAGGCCTGTGTTTGAATCCTGCCTCCACCATTTCTGAGCCGTGTGGGCAGGACACTTTCCCTCTTGGGGTTCTCGGTTTCCTTATGTCTGGAATAGGAATCATGCCCACCTCTCACAGTTGTAAGAATTCGAGAATGGGAGTTAACAGTGTAGCAGAGTGGCTGGCGTGGGGTGGGGAGCACAGTCGGGGAGGTGCCAGTAAGTATAGTCATGTGCCGCATAACGACATGTGGGTCAACAACGGACCGCAGATACGACGGTGGTCCCCTGAGATTAGTGCCATATGGCCAAGGTGTGTAGTAGGCTGTACCATGTAGGTTTGTGTAAGTACACTCTGTAATGTTTGCACAATGACAAAGTCACCTAACGATGCATTTCTCAGAATGTGTCCCCATGGCTAAGCAACTCATGACTGTAGTAGTTTA